ATAAATGTTTGCATTCTGATAATGAAATATCTTTATGTTACTTTACGTTCATATATCCCTTCACTGATGTTGTAATGACAAATTACTAAGATTCTGTTGCTGCAAGCATCAAAAGCTTAACAAAAACATTAGTAAGAGGTGCTTCATTTCTTTTGTGAACGTTTTAAATATAAATTAAATTATTCCTAGTGTTTATTTATTGACAGTGCTAGCAAAACATCCTTGTTTCTTAAACAAAATATAATATTTCAAAAAAATCAGCGATACGAATTCTACTGATATGTTTGTTAAGCTAACAAGGTATAGACACGTGAACCTATAAAGACCCATTTCTCAAAGCTTTGCTAGCTTAATGAACTTTAACTCAAAAAGACGTATATCTGAGACTTCCATGATTCATACAAATCGTTATATATAGCACAACGTAATTTGATTCCAAATATGATGTTGACTTAAAAGCTTTAACAATAATTGATGATTTGAGAATGAAAAAATCAAATGTTTCGAGAAAACTATAGGTTAAACGAACAAGGCTTAATTTAATAACACAGTAATTTGTTGTCGAACGATATATGTGCATAAAACTCTCAGTCATCAATCGGGAAAGTTTAACGCCTGTTGGCCGTAATGGTGTAACACCTGACTAAAGAATCAACCAATGAGGGTACGGATTAAGGCAGGTAATCCTCGGTTTATGTCTTCACCAGTTAACTGATGTTGGGTCTCCGATTATCATCGTAGTTCTTCAGCTAGGAAACAGAACAGAACAGTTTTACGGTCTAGTCCAATGGGATGTGCTCGTGTCATTCGAACGTATTCGAGAATGTAACAAATGACGGTGTTTTATCGCAGGATAAATCACGATTGCATCAGATTTATCACTTTTGACAAGGAGTGGCATATTTTGTCTACTTTGGTGAGGATTTCAGAGACCTGACCATATTCAAAACCAGTAGTTTAGTAATGTCCATTACTTATTTAAATACAAATATGTTGTAAGTAGTAACGCATACCACGGATGTTCTTTTATCGCGAAATAAATGTAATCCATTCCGGTATTAAAATTTGATTTCTACAGGGCTAATGTAAAAAGGATTCATCTTATATCTTGGCTCCAAAATGATGATGAATGTCAAGACATATCCTGTCGTGTATTCAGGGTGGTTGTGTGTTTTGCTTGCTCTCATCCGTATATCAATTATAAACTCTACGGACCCTCCCCAAAGAGTCAAACGCCAGGTAAAAACAGCGGACAATGCGTCTTCAGGTGGATATCGAAACGAAAATGTGTGTTCTTCCAATTACACATTGCGACCCCAACAGGAAAGACAATGTGAAAATATACCACATCTCAGTTGTGAATTTGGCATTTGCGAAATAATAGAACAAATGGGTTTAGTTGAGGTAAGCTGTCTGTGCGACAAAGGAGCTGTTGGATCAGAGTGTGACATTAAGTGTTGTCTTAAATGTGAACACGGTAAATGTAAGGTGTACCCAGATGGAGCAGAGTATTGCAAGTGTAATGTAGGCTACTATGGCACGCTTTGTGAAAATGAGAGAGAAACAAAGACAACACCACGACTCGAAACTACAGACAGTCCTTCATTGGATACAGAAAATCAAGGGATCAATGCTTGTTATTCAAACTATACCATGAGATCCTTAGATAAGAGGCAGTGCAATAAATACCTAACATGCTTATACGGTCGCTGTGAAACAGAAGAACATGAAGGTTTTCTGGAATTAAGCTGCTCATGCGATAAAGGTTCATATGGCGAAAGTTGCGAGTCAAAATGCTGTCTGAATTGTTTGCATGGGAAATGTGCTATATTCCCAAATCGTACAGAGTACTGTAAGTGTGATTATACCTTTACCGGCCCACAATGTGATTATGCCTCAGAACCTTTACTGATGCAAGATACGACCATGGCGTCAGATACGGCCAATTTCTCTATGAACCATTCTTGTTCCGTCAACTACACACTAAGACCCCTGGAACAACGGGTCTGTGTGCGAGACAAACTCACCTGTTTATACGGTATATGTATGAAGTCGATTCAGGATGATCTTATTCATCATAATTGTACTTGCGATGAAGGAGCTTATGGACTAGAATGTGACAAACAATGTTGCCATTTGAATTGTGAACACGGAGATTGTCATAAATTAAAGGACAGTCCTGTATATTGTAAATGTTACGATGGCTACACTGGCCCTTCTTGTGGAATTCCTCCAACAGTTAATGCAACGACAGGTATTTATATATAGGGATCATATACGACTTGCATTGTTACGAGCTAAAACAAAAACAATCGTGACGAGTTGCATGAATCCCACGAAGTGGACATCATTTTTATCCTTTATCACACGATCGTAACTATTAGCGAAATTTGAAGTCAAATATAATCTTTAATCTTCATTTCGTTTTAGGTCTTAATATAATCAGAAAGTATATGACGTCATTTCTTATTTTTTCATCACATTGTAACATATCAAGTAACATGAGTAAATAAGCAAAAAATATGAAATGGGTATTTTCTCTGAATAACACGGTAGTTACGTGGTTAAATATATATTATATGACTTACAAGTTTTTCTTGAAAAGTGGTTGACTGGCGCTTGCTTTACTGACCTTGATACGATGTATAATAGCGATCTCAGACAACCCAGAAGTGGATATAACATCGTTTTATTTAATAACCTATAAATCGGAGTTAAAATGTTCTATTTTGCAGGATTTGTTCATATTAAGACTGCCACTGTCGTATGAGTAATCTTACTTTTTTTTTATAAGAAATACTTTCATATGTAAATTGATAAATAAGAAAGCAATTTATTAAGCTTCATTCAGGTAGAAGAAATTATTAATCAACCTTAAAAAGATAATGATTTTCCCCGCATCCGGCAGTGAGAAATATGATATTCCTTAGGTTGATAAATCATTGTTTAGACCTCAATGGAGGTTAGTAATGCTACACTTTTGCTAATACATGTATACAAGGGATAAGCTTTCGTAAACATATATTCTATTCTATTTTAAGGATGATCGTTTGATGAAAATTCGTCCATAAAGTCTCTATGTTATCCTAGTACAATACACAATTTTGTATATAATTTCAATGCGATGTACAGGATACTGAAATATACCAGGAAGGAAACCCTGGGTAGGTTATGCATTGGTTAAAAAGACGCATGTCTTTTATTCCTTTTGATTACAACCATAACTGTTTATGTCGATAAAAAAAAAAAAAAAAAAAAATCGTTCAACATTTCACATCCTAGATTGGTTATACGTGTTATCACTATAATGAATGATAACATTACATAACTTCATTAATACTTGCGCTGGTAATGACTGTGATGGTATCATGCATACAAAGTACCCCTTATTGTCAGTGTACCACTGATAGTTTATGCTCTGTTGAGTACAATATTCTGTATTACAAACATTAGGTAACACGCCGTTTATTACGGCGACAGCTTGAACATGTGTTTGACCCAATCCTTTACTGTATATACTATTCTTTGCACAGTAAGCATATATGGTCTTGATACCAATTGATGAGAACATGATGCTTTTCAATAAAGTATTTCCAAAATGTTGGTTTTAAAAATGTGTTAGATCAGTGTTTTTTGAAAATAGTATTAAAGTATCCATAAGTGTTTGTGGATGCAACATGCTATTTTTAAAGTTACCCATGATAAAAATAATCTACAAAAACAATAAATCAATAGATAATGGTTGAGGATAGGTTACCTTGGACATGGTATATTGTGCAATACCCAACAAAACCCCAATCATACTCAACTACAACTAACCCGTCTTCCCCATTTATGCATGTATCCCTTAAGGTGTTGTATGAAAAACAGTCTAAGAGATATTATGTTGAACGTTTCATTTAACTTCTGACTACAGGATTTACCCTCTCTAGACCTATTGTTTTTAATTTTGATACATAAAACGAACAGCCAAATAATAAGTGTACAGTATAATTGTTACACAATTCAAAGAGCCGTGATTAATTCAGGTTTACAATTTAATATTTGCATACCTGCATATCTGCTGGTATTCACTTTTTGATAAACCCACTGTTTGGTATACCACCATGAAAATCAGGTGGAAGTTGTTTGTCCAGTTATTTCTCAGCTGATGTGACCTGATTATCAATACTGTATGTTAATTATCGATATCCAATTTGACACTTGACTTATTAAGAATAACCTTAGAATAGTTGTATTTTTATGTTACATTCATTTGTGTTTCTCTTTAACGAAAAGGAACCACTTCCCAATGCCTTTCTCCAAATGATCTTTATTGTATCATTCTTCACAGTTTGAACATAATAATTAAATTGATTCGGAAGAGAGATCAGTTTGCTATGGCTATTTTGAAGAAGAAGAAAAAAGAGTTAAAAATTGACCTAAATTGCGCCCGGAAAGCGAAACTGCTCCCTCGACCAGAGCATGGTTCAAACTCTGCTCTCTACTTAGGATCTTACGCCTCGCCTGGCTAGTTGATGGTGCATTTGCATACCCACTACATTCAACTGCATTTTTCTGTTACATGTTTATGTGACAGTACATTACCTACGATCGAGGTTATTGATGAACGGACTAAACTATATACGGTTTTTTTAAAAATTAATTACTCTGTTGAATATCATTTATAAAATGTGTACATTGCTCTCCATCGTTTATATTCAACTCTTTGTGATGGATAGTTAAAGTGATGTTAAGCAGTATACTACAATTTTGCCATATCATAATGTAATTATGTGATAATGAAATGAAAAGGAAGTGAAATATGTGGATGTGGAATACATTGATTGACCATGAAATATAAATAAGTTGTATTTCGAATATTCTGATAATCATCTTCACAATGGCTCCTGATTTATCTACAGTTACTAAGACGGACCTTCAGAATAACTTCTGGCAAGACGTATGTATACGAACATGCATATATGGTATCTGAACCAAGGATGTTTTAATCTTTGAAGGTCAGAAGAAGGATACCTGGTATCTGTGGGTGGTAGGAGTATGTGCTGGTGTGCTTGGACTACTTATCCTGGCTCTGGTCATTATACCTTATTGGATGTGGCACAATAGGGTCACCGTCATCATGAAGATTGTCCACTATTTTCAGCCTTACGAAGACGATGGTCAGTAGATATTTTATTTATTATCTGTTAACACTTAAGTTTATTTATGTTTTTAATCTGCGGATTCTCGACATTTCCTTAAATAATCAATAGTTTCAATATTTTTTTCTTGATATATATTTTGGTGTGGTTATTAGTTTTGTTTCTCATTATAATTAAAAAAAATGATAACTGCTTTTCTTTAAAAGAACAAGACTAGTAGAAGTAATTTATAATTTATTGTAAATCACATAAATCTGAATAGATTTTCATGAGATATCTTCATGCACAATTAATTTGTCTCACGAATCGTTAAGAAGATTTATTTCTGGTTAAATATAGATGTTGTGAAGAATTCTTTTACACCGACTGTAAATAGAACCATATTTAAGCTATAATAAATCCTCATCAATAATCATAAAAAACTTACTTAATGTACATGCACTTAAAAATTGAATGAAAACGACAAAATCATCGTTTTTCAACACACAACAATGCGGAAATACTTATACACACGCGTTGATAGTTAAACTATTGTAATCAGACTGTCAACTATCTACTGTTGTGTGTCTATCTCATTACTGGCAGACCCACCATGCCCCGTCTGTTTCACTGACTGCCAATGTGAATGATCAATCACCATGTCTCCCTTGCTTTGTATAAGGAAGTTAGTTACATATTAATAGTCTTATTGTGTTAAATGTTTCTTCAAAAGTGGTATGAAATCATATACCACTAGTTATATTCAACGTGTGATACAACAAAATAAACCAATATTTCATATATTTCTCTTCCACACTCGATTAACTCGATTCGTTAGATCAACAAAGGATATAGACTATGTGGTTTTAGGTGTTAATGACAATGGTATCGATGATCAACTTTTAAATAGATCACATGCTTTGGTAATGTAATTCATCAGTTTTAAATATATATGCTTTCATAATATAATTTATTAGTATTGATTGAGTATATCCTTTCGCAATGTGATTTATTAAAGAACATACTTTTGTAATGTTATTCTTCAAATCAAAAGTGTTTTGTAATTTAATTTTTCAATCAAATAAATAGCATTCATTCGGAATGTTATTCATCAGTTAATGAAATATCATGCTTTTAATGGAATCCTGGAGTTAGATATTCCAACAGAATAGTGTTTTATCTTATAAGCAAATCTTATATAATTGTATTTTGATTTTTAAGATGAAAAAACGTGGGACGCATTCGTTTCATACAAATCTGCAGACGTCGATCAGAATTTTGTATTACACACGCTATTCCCGAAATTGGAGAAGGAACTCGGCTTCACCTTGTGTATGCATTTTCGAGACTTTTTGCCGGGCGAAAGTGAGTGTTGCTTTCATATGCATTTCGTTATTACGTTCATCTGTAAACTTTGGCATCTAAGTATATAATGGTTGGTAATTTGATAATGTTTGTTCAAATTGAAGTTCACTCTTCCTCTCGTCTCGCTTTAGATTTTATTATTTCAATTTTACTGACGTAGACAAATATACCTACACTTTTCATAGCAACGTCGTACTGTGCTTAGCGAATAAAAAATTCCCTAGCCATTATAAAAAAGACTCGCCATTTCATACATCCAATCACAAGTAATCGCAAACTATATAATGTTCCAGACCCGATTTATCTAGAGAAACAACAAAAGTTCTAAAATATAATCAAAATGTTCTTTATATCAAAATTATCATCAAACTATAAAACTCCAAAAACTCCACTCTGTATTTCCCAAAGAATCGTACGCCTATGTAACCTACATATGAGCTAAAGTAATTAAATACAGTTACATGTAGCATGGGTGACAACCTGCTTAATTTAAATTAATTAAGTGATTACAGTATTACTCTTATACAACCGTCTGTCTGATAGTTTTCATTAAGACATGATGACAGACACATCTTCTATAATTACCTTTGATAATTGTCACGTTCGAAAAACACATGCAATTAATACAATAGTGATAATGCTGTCACATGTATGACACGTCTATATCAGGAATGAGGGCAGCAGACAGATATCAATGTACCGGTACATATTTTATTTTAGGACGAAATGAAGGTCATCTCATATAAGGTGGCAAATGATAATAATTATAAGGTGTGACACAACTGACTGCACCAGTTAACATATGTGTTAACACAGCAGTTGACTGCACCAGTTAACCTTTGTGTTAACACAGCAGTTGACTGCACCAGTTAACCTTTGTGTTAACACAGCAGTTGTCTGCACCAGTTAATATTTGTCTTAACACAGCAGTTGACTGCACCAGTTAACATTTGTCTTAACACAGCAGTTGACTGCACCAGTTAACATTTGTGTTAACACAGCAGTTGACTGCACCAGTTAACCTTTGTGTTAACACAGCAGTTGACTGCACCAGTTAACCTTTGTGTTAAAACAGCAGTTGACTGCACCAGTTAACATTTGTGTTAAAACAGCAGTTGACTGCACCAGTTAACATTTGTATTAACACAGCAGTTGACTGCACCAGTTAACATTTGTATTAACACAGCAGTTGAATGCAGCAATCACCACCTGCTGATTTTGTCGTAGTATACTGAATATACGAACGAAACAAAACGGCAGAAAACAAGAATACACAAAAAGACTATGCTGCAGTTAATTGAATATGGACATAGCTGACATGGTAATGAGTAGATATTCCCCTCATTATTCATTTTTCTTTCTTTTTTTTTCTATTTAGATATTATTTTTTTATTCAATTTTGTATTCTTAGTACCAAGGTTCCAGGTCGCGTTCTGTTTCGAAATGTTATTTTGAATCCTGATGTTTGTATTCTCTATATCTGTGTATTCGGCACATTAGCAAAGAAAAACAGATTTGGATAAACGGACATTTCCAATCTGATGAAATTATAATTGTAAAATATTCACAATAATCTATGCGAATTCTTAGTTTTCGCTAATATATATTTTCAAAATAGTCTGATATTCACTTTGAAAATTATCGCTGATATTGAAATTTCACAATTGTTACTAAACTTCCTTTAAAATATTGTCAGTGATGCTTTAATTTACAATTATCGCTGAAATTAACTTTCAAAGTTGCTTTGTACTTTCAGCGATCGCCAACAATATAATAAACGCAGTCAACAACAGTCGGCGAACCATCCTTATCCTGACACCCCGGTACATCGAGAGTGAATTCACACGATTCGAATATCAAGTCGCCCAGCACGAAATGTTAAAGCGAAAGCATAGGATTATTCCAGTCTTACTTGAAGATATTTCAGACTCCATGAGTTCTATGGACCCGAATCTCCGACAAATCATCAAGTCTGTTACATATATCGAATATCCCGGATCGGACGCTACAGAAAAGAAATTGAACACATTTTGGAAGCGGATGGCTCTATCTATGCCAAAAACAAGGTCAACAGAGGAACATCAAAAGCTTTTAGACAACAACAACAAAACAAGTGACAATAACAGCGTGAATGCCATATCCGTCAATGGTGAGGTCAGTGTATCAAACCATAAAAGGGAAACGGAAATGACGTCATTCACAAATGGCGGTATCACTCCAATAGACAATAGCGAGATCAACGTAAAAATTATAGAGGAGACTTCGGTGGCTAGCAAGAACTTAAAGAACAACATTGATGGCGAACTGTGCAATAAAGCGTTCATTGATGATTGACAATTTAGGGTCGATGACTGACAAATGTATTAGTTAGATTCAATTTAATTTCTTTCTACCTCAAAAAAATAGTGATATTTTGCCTATGAAGAGTTTAACAAGTGCCATATAGTGTCATAATGTTAGATCCAGGTAGCCTTAGACGGTTCTGGAATCTGCATGATTCGCATGACATGCAAGTTAACACGGTACTGGTAACACAGCATCACTAAGGTTATCACAATATGTGTGATCAGATAACGAGTGAAGTACGTCAAATACTACAACCCATGTAAATATAATACATATTATCACACATGATGGTACATATTGTATACAGACAACTACGACCAAGTATTGAGTAGTTGAAACGTCTCATCATCTACGATCACAAACCCTCTACATTGTACTGCTAGGCCGCGGTTTCGAGCTCTACGTTAGGCAGTCACTACATGAAGCTTACAGGCGCAGGTCGGTGGTTTTTCTCCAGAAACTCGGAGTTTTCTACACCACCATACCTGGAACGTCCTCAAATGATCATAACTGATAACAGGACGTAAAACACACGACAAAACTCGCACCATAAAACTCGAAACTCGAATCTAACAATAATTGCAGACAATCTACGTCATTAATCGCATACTGATATGTTACCTTAGCAACAAATGATGCGAGTATGCTTAGAACTCACTTGTGTTCAAATTAATTGATTATATTGTTAAAGATAATTAATTTAAGGTTTCATGTACCTACTTCTGGGGTACAATGAAGGTTATCCCATGTCATGAAACAGGGACGAATAACTATGCATATATGTTATGCAGTTAACAATATATGTAAAGAGCGATGAATGATATATACGGTTTTGTAATGCCGATTTTGAATGAATATATATACTTTTAATATAAAACTGGGCATTTGTTCATATAAGTATAGCGCTTAACATCACGTCAATCCAGAAAACAATTTGGAAGTGATGAAATGGCTAAATTACTAAATATGTAGTCAGTCGTTATATCGGAATGCTGGGAGTTGTGGAGAAGAGTAATGGCGCTTCAAAGTAATATGTCTATATACATGTATATACGTTCCATCTTGTCGAATGATAAAAACAGCAAAATATATAACGATTATGGACTTTATAGACCTGGGAAGTTATATTAACCTCAACGTCGTCTCGGTCAATATCTCTTGACCTAGACTGTGTCGCTGTTACCACAGATGCATCCCAACACAAGTCTATAGTAAATAGATACCCACCAGACACAGCAGCATATTGACCATACAAACATGTAAACCGAACCTGAATTTCTTTGACGAAGTAGGCTACACTAAAATGAATGTGTTTTGATTAACGTTTTCACTGTATTTATGATAAACCTTCAACCAGATAGTGTCTTCATTTCTACTCAAATACTTTTTTTTGCACAGGAGATGAGACATACCGATTTAGATATCTCTGTTGTTTGACATCAAATGTTAATTTATTTCAATTTTAAACGAGATTTATTTCACATTATCCGCAATATTGTTTGTATGTTTTTTGTTCGAAATGATCAATTTTCATTAAATGTTCGTAAAATGATGTTTGTATCCGTTAACCTGTGGAATACATTTTTAAGTCAGTGAACTGTTAGAAAAGTGACTTTAAGTGTAAACAAATTTTCAAATGTATATGATTTCCTTTTGTAGTTGTGATTTATATAAAGAAACTTAAATTTTCTTTCTTCAGTTTTGTGTAATCCTTGAAAGATTGAAAAATTGAAAGATGTCCTAAATCCCACAATAACTAAGGGAAAGGCTCCCTTAACCCTCAATAACAAACGGAAACACGCCCTAGACACGCGATTACAAAGGCAAACACGTCCAAGACACGAGATAACAAAGGGAAACACGCCCTAGACACGCGATAACAAAGGGAAACAAGCCCTAGACACGCGATAACAAAGGGAAACAAGTCCTAGATACGCGATAACAAAGGGAAAAAAGCCCAAGACACGCGATTACAAAGGGAAACACGTCCAAGACACGAGATAACAAAGGGAAACACGCCCTAGACACGCGATAACAAAGGGAAACAAGCCTAGACACGCGATACCAAAGGAAAACACTCCCTAGACACGCGATTACAAAGGGAAACAAGCCCTAGACACGCGATAACAAAGGGAAACAAGCCCAAAACACGCGATAACAAAGGGAAACAAGCCTAGACACGCGATAACAAAGGGAAACAAGCACTAGACACGCGATTACAAAGGGAAACACTCCCTAGACACGCGATACCAAAGGAAAACACTCCCTAGACACGCGATTACAAAGGGAAACAAAGACACGCGATTACAAAGGGAAACAAGCCAAGCCCAAGACACGAGATAGCAAAGGGAAACAAGCCCTAGACACGCGATAACAAAGGGAACCAAGCCCTAGACACGCGATAACAAAGGGAAACACGCCCTAGACACGCGATAACAGGGGAAACACTCCCTAGACACACGATTCCAAAGGAAAACACTCCCTAGACACGCGATAACAAAGGGAAACAAGCCCTAGACACGCGATAACAAAGGGAAACAAGCCCAAGACACGAGATAACAAAGGGAAACAAGCCCTAGACACGCGATAACAAAGGGAAACAAGCCCTAGACACGCGATAACAAAGGGAAACAAGTCCTAGACACGCGATAACAAAGGGAAACAAGCCCTAGACACGCGATAACAGGGGAAACACTCCCTAGACACACGAGATAACAAAGGGAAACAAGCCCTAGACACGCGATAACAAAGGAAAACAAGCCCTAGACACGCGATAACAAAGGGAAACACGCCCTAGACACGCGATAACAAAGGGAAACACACCCTAGACACGCGATAACAAAGGGAAACACTCCCTAGACACGCGATAACAAAAGGAAAGACGTCCTCAACCCTCGATAACAACGGGAAAGACGTCCTAAGCCCCACAGTAAAAATGAAAAAGGGGGATATTAAAACCTTCAAAAATAAATAGAAGGACGTTTTATATTCTAAAAATAGCAAAGACGTCATTTTAAATCCTCACAGAAACAAAGTCGTTTTAGTCCCCAGCGGTTAAAAGGAAACATATATTAAACTTCAAGAAACAACAAATTGAGTGACATCTTATTTTAAGTAAGTAAAATTATACAGATGGTGATCATTTCTTATTGCTTATGGAAAGGATTGCATTTCAAAGCTTTACAAATTAGTTACGCACTTATTTTACTGTATGCTCAACCTGGTCTTTGTATATAACAGTTACCGACCAGCTTTCAGGCAATGTTAGTTACCCTGCGGAAAATAAGGCTTAATGGACAGACGGAAAAGGGCCATACCTTGATATGACCCACGAATGCCACGCGGAAGAAAAGTAGGTCACGGTGCCCTGATAGTACTACACTTCACTCTACTACCAAATCGTGTTGTCTTACACCAAGTTTGGAGTAAGAGATGTATAAAAAGGGACATAACACGCTCGAAAAGGGCACGATTTTTATCATCTCATCTTTTACTAAAAATCTCTATCTTTTTCTAAATTTCAGCAGACCAAGTTTAACTGAAATCCAATCCTGCGAAAAGAGCTGAAAACAGATTGTCATATGTTAATTTGATACGTAATTATTGAACCTTGCCTTCGTCTTCCCATTTCGTACCTGTTAGTAAAAAGTATCATTGCAATCTAATCATGTTTACGGAGGTTATGATGCGGAACCGAGGAGCGTGCCTACATCCATAAAGCGACGTCGGTATGTATTGACTGTGGGTATGTTTATTTAGAAAATGAATAAGTTCACACCTAAAATTGTTGATAAATACTTCTTGTGTATCCGGGTATCATCGTCAAATGGAGTGTTGTATGAGTGTGATTTTCTTCTTGCTTTGAAGTAGAGTTTTCATTCATGACATTGAAGTTTTGTAAACAACATAGATGTCGGAGCGGGGATAATTTATTTCCACTTGCCTTGGTTCCAATTATTAAGATGCATACATATAAGTACACTTTAACTAAATATAAACATCCTATCACATCACAAAGAAAATCGGTAACGACCGAATGTAAAAGGATCTTTGCTTCTCTTACCATCCTAATGTCCCTGTCACGAAGTCACTTGTTACGGTTCGTTTGCAATTGGGATTATAATTAAATCTACCGGAAATGCTTGTCAACTGATTCGTTTTCTTTTACTAAGTATCTTTATAAATATGTTTACGATGCACATTTATATACGTATACGAAAGGACACTATTGACCAAATACGGTCAAAAACAATCTGGATTATCAAGCAATTAAGCTACTATTTATCTCTCTTTAATAAAAGCTACCGAATGAAAATAAGCAATTTGATGTTCCGTTGTTCTGTTCGCTCCACTTCTTGTTGATAGAATAACATAACTCCTATAACATTGCTCTGGAATATGTAATACAATTGTAGTTTCATATTTTCTGAGGTGGCATAATAGTGTTGCAAGACTTTTTGATGATATGAAACTGTGATTGTATTGTGATAAGCTACGTATTGATTTGTTGTTTATATATACGTAGTAACTACATAAAAATGTATGTAGTTCTATTGCTGAGTTTTTCTGTTGTTTTAGGTTTCTGTGATTCTTTTTTCATAATATTTTCCTGGTATAGAGGTGAAGACATTCCAAGCATTCTGTATTAATATATAGTGTGTGGTGTCTTACTGTACTTAGAAAATGGCAAGTATGCTACTGCTGGCTTTGAATGTAAACATTGAAACACTGAAAGATTAAAAAGGTCGTCACACGTGGCAAACTACCACACCATAAATAGGAATACGTTCGGATGATGCTAATTTATTGATTCTGTGGATTAACAAGGATTGTCTATTTATTAATTTTAATCTATATACTTTTATTTTTTTTAACCCATCATCATCAGATTGCGGGATGTTCAAATCATCCTGCGTTCGTGGTCATTGGTCCGTGGTCCGCCCGTCCGTCCTTAAACAATTCTTGTAAGCGCTATTTATGAAGGGTCACCCGNTTTTTTTTTTTTTTTTTTTTTTTTTTTTTTTTTTTTTTGAGACTGATCATAAAAACAAGATGGCAGACAGGCAGTAATCTTGAATTTGAGAGATAAGGTTTGCTAGTGCTATTTCTCAGAAAAAACTGGAGGGATTTTTTCTCAAATTTTACTCCCTTATCCATAGTTATGCATTTCAAATTTTAGAACTAATGACAAATCCAAGATGGCCGATGGCCAGCCTTCTTGAATTTAAGATTTAAAGCTGTTAGTGCTATTTCTCAGAAAGTGCTTGAGGGATCTTTCTCAAATTTCACATGAAGATTTCCCCTGGCCTCTAGTTTGGGTCTGATTGGAAAACCAAGATGGCGGACAGACGGTCATCTTCAATTTTGAGAGGTAAATATTGTCAGCACTATTTCTCAAACAGTATTTGAGGGATCTTTCTTAAATTTCACCTGTAGTTTTCTCTTGATTCTTAGTTATGCATATTAGGACAGAATGCGTAACACTGGTCCCTGTTGATATATACACAGGAGATTACGAGTGGCCTGAATTGTCTGTAGAGATGAAAAAATGTGTAGCACCGACCCCTGATGCTCTATACAATGAAATCTGCATTGTGTTAACAGATGGTAAAGAGTGATGGTAAAGTGTCATTGTGTTAACAGATGACAAAGGGTGATGGTAAAGTGTCATTGTGTTAACAGATGGTAAAGGGTGATGGCAAAGTGTCATTGTATTAACGAATGGTAAAGGGTGATGGTAAAGTGTCATTGTGTTAACAGATGGTAAAGGGTGATGGTAAAGTGTAATTGTGTTAACAGATGGTAAAGAGTGATGGTGAAGTGTCATTGTGTTAACAGTTGGTAAAGGGTGATGGCAAAGTGTCATTGCATTAACGAATGGTAAAGGGTGATGGTAGAGTGTCATTGTGTTAACAGTTGGTAAAGGGTGATGGCAAAGTGTCATTGCATTAACGAATGGTAAAGGGTGATGGTAGAGTGTCATTGTGTTAACAGTTGGTAAAGGGTGATGGCAAAGTGACATTGTATTAACGAATGGTAAAGGTTGATGGTAAAGTGTCATTGGGTTAACAGATGGTAAAGTGTTATTGTGTTAACAGATTGTAAAGTGTCAGAGTGTTAACAAATGGTAAAGTATCATTGTGTTTACAGATGGTAAAGTGTCCTTGTGTTAACAGATTGTAAAGTGTCAGTGTGTTAACAAATGGTAAAGTGTCAATGTGTTAACAGATGGTAAAGGGTCACTGTGTTAACAGATGGTAAAGAGTGATGGTAAAGTCTCATTGTGTTAACAGATGACAAAGGGTGATGGTAAAGTCTCATTGCGTTACCAGATGGTAAAGGGTGATGGTAGAGTGTCATTGTGTTAACAGATAGTAAAGTGTCATTGTGTTAAAAGATGGTAAAGGGTCATTGTGTTAACAAATGGCAAAGTGTCATTGTGTTAAAAGATGGTAAAGGGTCATTGTGTTAACAGATGGAACAGGGTGATGGTAAAGTGACAATGTGTTAACAGATGGTAAAGGGTTATTGTGTTACCAAATGGTAAAGTGTCATTGTGTTAACAGATGGTAAAGTATCATTGTGTTTACAGATGGTAAAGTGTCATTGTGTTAACAGATTGTAAAGTGTCAGTGTGTTAACAAATGGTAAAGTGTCATT